GTTAATTCTTGCCTGTGACCCTTTGAATAAACCAGCACGGTTATATTTTATATATATATACAAGTGGTCTGAGTCGTCCCTCTGAGTTCCTGGTTTGAAAGAACCGAACGTGGCTTTATAATAGAATAGAGCCTATAATATGTGTCAGTGACTTACAGATGAACTATGTCCTGAGTGAAGGAGCTACCAGAACTAAACAGGCTTAGCAGCTCTCCTCCCTCTTCTGTTGTTCCATTTATGATGATGACTATTCATCTGAAATATTTGCGGACTAAGTTTCGTTTCTCTAGAAACAGATCTGACGCTGATAGAGGCTTTTTTCGCTACGTAACCAAGTCACGTGACAAGCATCAATATAAACCCCGTCTGGATTCAGGATTCTCATTTTGTAAACAATGGGATTATGTAAGTACAGCTGTTACTTTAACAATAATAATAATACATTTCTTTGTTAATGCTTGCCTCCATTTTAATGGTGATACACAACAGTAAATGTCTTTACTGAACGATGTTAACTTTTGTCTGTCTGTTTCAGTGACAGCTGCAGTTGTTGCGACGGTAGGAGCAGGTCAGATATTTAAAATACCCGTTTTCTTTATGAAAAAGGTCCATTAAACGTGCCATATCCATTCAACAACATTTAATATACATTTAGCATCCATTTTAAAGCCCCATGTCCATTTAGTACAGTAAACAAGCTTGTCTCTGCTCCTGTCTGTTCAAGGGGGGGCGGTGGTCGCTGCTCCTCTTGTCCTCGGGGCTGTAGGTTTCACCGCAGCTGGGGTAGCAGCAAGCTCCTACGCTGCAGCCATGATGTCGTCTGCTGCAATTGCTAACGGAGGAGGAGTAGCTGCAGGAAGTCTGGTGGCTATTTTGCAGTCCGCAGGTAAATGCCATAAGCTTTGCTGTGGTGATAATCAATTCTTGCGATCCGATCAGCCAGATACTTACAGGAGACAGGAGACAGGTCACAAGCCAGGCTTTCTGACGTCCCCGTGCTGGATGAAGTCTGTTTATGTTCTGGGCGTTCACAACCGTGTCATCTCTCTGCAGGCATGGCTGGTCTGTCTGCAGCCGCCGCTGGAACTGTGGGCGGGGGTGGGGGCACAAGAGGGTTTAATAATCTGAGGAGAAGCTGAATATCATGAAATGATCATATATTGGCTTAAGACAGTTGTATTTACGCTTTGCACTACTTGCTAAATGTTGCCATCTTGTATCAGTGAAGCAACAACTCACTGCGCATTTAGCTGAAGTCTGAGGGCAACTGATATAATTATCTGGCGTTACACATTTATATCTGAATAGTCCGACTTTCAAGTGAAGCCGGAATCCATAATAAAATGTATTTGAAAAGTGTTTACTGCATCAGTGTCATTTTTAAAATCTATTTATATGAATAACTGATAATAAGAGGGGTTAACCGCCATGTGTGTCATAACACAAGTACAAATTTCCAAGCAAAAACATTGATTATTGCACTTTATTTATTGGCGCAAGATGTGCAATATACTTTAATTTAGCATGCTAATGGTAGTCACATTATATTGTTTGCTCTTATCTTGTGTTTCAGCAATAGGCAATGAGAGAACTGAACAGCATGTTTACTTTTTCAAATCAGTGTAAACACCTTTAATTTGGAAAAGCCAATAGACAACTAGACAGGTTCTATTAGTTTGTCACACATGATCCACCTTAGCTGTGTTGTTATCCATGTGCAGTAGCTGCAGTTGCCCAGGCTCCTATTGCTCTGGGCACCACAGGTTTCACCTCAGCTGGAATACCATACACACACTCACTCCTACAGGCAATTTAGAGTAGTCAACCAACCTAAGATGTATGTCTTTGGCATGTGGAGAGAACTCACGAAGGCACAGGGAGAACCTTCTTACTGACCCATAGTTTTATGAAGTAATAAACCACTATACACTGATGGCTTTCTGTACCTAACTGGATGTGCTTGTTATTTACTCCCAGTTGGGACATCGCTGCTGCACAGTGAGGTGAATCATGCAATGTACTCCACGTCAGCCTTGCAAATACCTAAGGGCAGGTACTTGGTTACCATGGTAGGACAATAGCATTAGGTCACCAGCAAGAGTCATGGCTCGGAAACTGAAACTTATAAGTAACTAATGTAAATGCAAACAACAACAATTTAGATCTCCTTCAAATCAGCATGCAGAAATCTAAAAGATCATTATTACATCTCTGAACACATTGACAAGTTCAGTTTACTTTCAATTTATTGTCCTTTTGTAAATTATTTTGTGTGGCAATTGTTTAAAAAAAAGTATGTGAAAATAAATGTGTGATCAAACTGAGGCATTTAGTAACCATTTAGGACAGATTAATGTCGTGAAACTGTCCACATATCATTTAGTTATGACATTTGACTACTGCAAAATGAATCACACAGTCACAAATTTGAATAAATCACTGCTTTTTGCCAGATGTTGAATCAGTTAATGGCAGTTTGAAAAATTACTTGAATTCATGTTGGTCTCTGTCTTCCCTGATGTGAAGAGGAAGAATACTATCTCATCTCATTTTGTTCACTCACTGGTCTCTGTGAAGTAAAACCTTTCATACTCTTGCTCTTTTTCTAATTTGTGATTAAGATTAAAACTCTTTCAGTTCAGTGAATAATAACCCATTTGTGTTTTTAGACAAGAAGCATTTTTTTGTACACAGTCATTTTTAGTAAGTCTTGACACAACTTGGTTGCATAACAGTGCACATACAAATGATTAACATTTGGTCTAGATTTCCCCAGATTTCTGTGCAGCTTTGGTCTCAATACGAGCTTGCTACATAATCATACACAGCACAGGATAACAATAACACTACACTTAAATGGCATAATGAGACCGATGGGAAGGCAACAACACTGTTGGGAGACACTGAGCTCTGGGCATTTAAAAGACAAGCAGCAGAATTTAAAATAACTCACAATAAATATTTAATATGTTACAATGTATTTTCACTGTCTTTACTGTTAAGGTGAAATATTAAATAAATTAAGCAAAATATTTAGATTTTACCAGTATGCTTACTGTGCAATCTTAAAATACATTCATACGCTGATCAAACAACCACATGTACGACATATCAACAAGAGACAAGACTGACCAAAAAAACAAAAATCCATTAAACAGTCAGAAGGCTCCAGTTTTAAAAACTCTTAAACACATAGACAAGCAGTAAAGTGATACAGTTGTATAAATCCAAATGAATATTGTGCATAAAATGGCTGATTGCATGTCTTTAGTTGTGCAGCACAGGTTAGCGCATGCAGGCTGCATTCAGACTTTCACTTTGTGCTGTTTCCTCACTAACCTGGCCTGTAAATAAATACTGTTTTGAGTTACTAATGTCTAAATATTTCTAATATTTAGTTATTTAATTTTAAATATATTTTATTTTGATAGGCATCTTGTCTTTCAAAAGGATTATATAATGTTTACAAATGTGGGTTAAAAATATACAGATAAAGGAAGTAACACAGGAGGTTGCTTGTTTGGGAGTTGAACTGTAAATAGAAATGTTTGCAGACACAACAGCACTGAGTACCACCTTATAATAAGGCAATATTTAGAAAAGATTTGTAATGTGTAACTAATGGCATAATTAATTAATTTACCAGAGTAATTATATGCCATTATAAGCCATCAGTAAAACAAATTTAGGGTCATCTGATATGAATAATGTGTCCATCCTCTTTTTTTAGTCCAGCTATAAAGCCATAATATGGATGATGGCCTTCATCCTATGCAGCATTTTTCCATAAGGTCGTACAGGTCAAAGGATTTTTTTATCATCAATTACTGGCCTCTAACTGATCTGTGAAGTTTCAAATTTATTTACTGATGATTAATAAAGCCATTAGTTACAACTGTTTATAAAGGGATCCTCATTAGAAAGTTATACTTTTTGTGATAATGTAAAATCCAGTGGATGAAATAGATCAGTGACTGGACCAAAATGTTATAAAATCTTTATTAACTGATTAATGTTATGACTTCATATTAGTATATTATATACTATTCATATTGAATCCAGTGACTTATATAAGTTTTTCAACCGATTTTCAGGATCTTTACTCAGGGTTTTACTACATGTCCCAGCAGTCATGACATCCTCAGCTGCTGAATTCCAAAATAAAATGTGTCTTTAGTCTCCTGATCTTCTGCAACATGATGTCTCAGCTACTTGGGTGCTGAAGAAATCTCTTTGTCCTTGATTGCTTTCTTGGTAACTCTCTGAGCTTCGCCATAGGGCACGTGGCATGCCACTGTCCCCATTTCTGCTGCCCCTTCCACATGAAACATCTGGTCATCAAAGAAAATGTGTGGCCTGATCTTCTCCAGCATAGGGCCCTTGGACGCCCCTGCCAGAAAGAGAGCCTCATCAATCTCCAGACCCCATGAGCGCAGAGTTTTTAGGGCTCTGGCACCAGAACTGGCTGCACTGCGAGCCGTCACCAGGTAGGTCCGGATGGGGCAGTCCATGCGCTGGCCTTTGTCATAAAACTTCTTCTGCAGCTTTCCTAACACCTCCAAGAAGCCCTTTAATGGCCCCTGCAGACAACAAGGAGAATACAGCAAGCTCACAGTGTCCATTTGGTGGTTTCAACATTTATATGTGTGGCAGTGTTAATAATAATTGTCACTATCTTTATACCATACATGGTCCAACGGCTTGTTCTCATGGGTCTTCTCATGCTCAAAGAACTTGTCCAGTCCATGAGCCTTGTAAATGCGTTCAGACTCATCAGAGAAGAGGACTGCGTCACCATCGAAGGCCACACGTAGCTGAGTCTCCGACACTTCCTTCATCTTTTCTGGAGTAAACATGATGGCTGCTGCTATACCTGTTCACACACAGTATTTCAGACATGTGGAGCTGTTGTTGAAAATCCGGTGTGTATGAGCACATTTTCCAGAGCTGGTATCAGACACTGTGAGTAACTTTAGCTTCACTGGTCTGATGTTACAGCTTCTCAGTAATGTGTCAGTCCTCTTTCATTGTACTCACCTTCCTCCAGAGCTTCTCGAACCTTGACTGGGTCAGCAGAGAGGTAAAGATTAGTGTGGTAGGCCTTCAAGTACCCAATGGGACTGTTTCCCCCAGTCATACAGAAACGTTCAATGAACAGCTCTGCTGAAAAGAGACATCGAAAACTCAGCGATGCACATAAAGTTAAAGATATGGAAGAGTCCACTGATAATGACACCAAAAGATCATCATCAAAATTATAGTTTTAGGGAAGGATGTTTACCTCTCATGACTTATGGTTTTCATTTTACAATCACTCACACTTGCCTTGCATGCATATTTCTGAATGGCAAGCGAAATGAAAGTTAAGGGCTGTTGTCATAATTCTGATGAAAGCAAGATAGTCAAAAACATCCATCCATCCAACCAATTTCCAAACTGCTTAGTCCCAAACGGGGTCACGGGGGGCTAGAGCCAATCCCAGCCAGCTGCGGGCGAAAGGCAGGGTACACCCTGGACAGGTCGCCAGCCCATCGCAGGGCCAACACACAGACGAACAACCACTCACACACACAAGCACTCCTACGGGCAATTTAGAGACACCAATCAACCTATGCTGCATGTCTTTGGACTGTGGGAGGAAACCGGAGCACCTGGAGAGAACCCACATAAGCACGGGGAGAACATGGAAACTCCGCACAGAAAGGCCCCAGGTTGGCCGGGGCTCAAACCCAGAACCTGCTTGCTGTGAGACAACAGCGCTAACCACCGCGCCACCGTGCTGCCCTAGTCAAAAACATTTGGTGATTAAAGCATAGTTTATAAGAGGAGTTTTGTGCAGCATGTTTTGATTTTGATGTGCTTGCATTGAGCCTGCCTTGCTCTGCATCTTGCTGTGTGCATTCTCAAAAGAAAGAAACTGAAATTAAAGTACTGTACCAGCCTGAGAATGATAAGTGACAACAAGGAATTGAGTTGTAATCTGCTGGCTCGCAGGGCCCCACAAAGGAAATAAACACAATATCTTCAGCTGGAGAGTGAAGCCAAGCAGGAGATTCTTCGATTCCTGTCCAGGTCCTTTTCTCTCTATTTGTCTTTCAACTGACCATCCAGTATAACAAGAACTGTAGTGTGTCAACAATCATCAGCTGTAGCAATTGCTTGAAACTAGGTCAGGAAACAGTAGACATGGTCTTTAAAGGATGATGCTGGTCAGCAGTAATATTGTGTGTATTGTAGTTTTTAGCAAATGTTACTCAAGCAGGAGGAAATCTTTCATTTGTTGGGGGCTATTCTCAGCAGCCGATTAATACACATTTGATCTGCTTACAAGAGCAGATGACATTTGCGCTGATAATTTCTCTAGTCACTCAAAACTAACAGCTATTAACAGGCATAATTTGTGAATAGGTTTCAGTTCATAGCTTCATAAATAGTTCATATCTTAATTGATGTCTGCGGTAAAATATTCTACATTTAAGGTTCATTTGTTTTTCAGAGCTTTTGATGTGGTTTAATAGGGACAGATTCTCTGATTAGAGAGATCCTTAATAACATGTAATAGTTTCTTCATAATAAGACATCATATCTTCAGTTATAAATGTGTATAAGAACAATAAGGGAATAATTTGACATTTTGGGAAATATGCTGGTTTGCTTTCTAGCCACGTTAGATGAGAAGACTGACTGTTTTTTTAATAGTTTACTCATCTGAAAAGACAAGATAATTTTCTCAACCCACAAAGGAGTAACTGTTTAGTTCATCTGAGAAATTCAAAATCACAAATTTTGAAAATGTGTTTTTTTGTTTATTTCTTTGTTTTGTTTACTGAACAGCATAGACACGTTAGTAGCTGTTAATAAATGGAATTTGTAGATACTCTGCAGCCCTATTGCACTTGTCGAACTTTCCATGTGGCAAATGTGTAGGGTTTAAAACTTTCCCCCATGTGGTACAAGCAACAAATGCATTATGGTAGCTAATTGGAGAAAAGCAAAGCTGGACTACATTAGGTTTCACATAGATTTTCCAATTTTTCTACAAATAAGACACTTTAATCATATAAAAAAATCTAAGCACTGTGGCTTTAAAGAAGGAGCTGGAAGGGGGATACAGACTAGACCCAGTGATGTTTCATCACTATGTCTTATTACTACGTTTTTATTGTTCATAATATGTAATAGTAACTCACGGTGATGATTGATGGTATTGATGAGTCTTAGGCCGACATAGGCGTGGTTGTTGGTCATGAGCACAACATCAAACAGCTCTTCACTCTCGGGGTAAAGCTCCCTCAATCGAGTGTTCACAGCTTCCAGAGCCTGGGAACACAGCCAAACACTGATATGAGCCAATAAAGAGACAATACTGTACTGAGGATGGAAGTGTGTGTGAGGCTTGTGTGCATTGGTACTGATTAATCAGCCATCGACCTCCAAAGACACAATCTCACACAAAACCCTGACATGAATCACTCTGCACTGAGTTTGATATCTTGTGTATCTGTATGTGTTTGTGTCTTCACCTATTTCTTCCACATTGTCTCTGACCTTGATGAAGGAGAAGGCAGGTCCAGGGCTGAAAGGCTCAGTTTCATGTTCCACCTGATATTTGATGTATTCTTCCATGCCATGCTGCTTGTAGATCTGCTGCTCCTTCTCCATGTTGAAGAGGACTCGTGATGAAACGACAATGGTTATGGCATTTTCTGGCTTGGGCTGGAGGATGACAGGTTGAAAACGTTTCAGTTTCATGTAGCTTTGGCTTGTTCTGGCTTATTTGAATGAGAGGCACTTGTGTCCTTTTGAGATCAGGTTCAGTGTTGCAACAGCAGTATAAGAATATTGGGAAGACATGAATAAATTTATAAAAGGCTTTAATACCACTGACAGACAACAGTGGGTAAAATGTGTGAGCTGAGGTGTCGGACTAGAAGTGACGTGATATGAAATATTTCCCTCTGCAGGACTGATAGCGCAGGCCCACATACCAGAATGGTTGATACCTGTTAACTCTTTGTAGGCTGAGACAGCAGCACAAAATATATAACACAGTATCTTTATAATAGCTCTTGAACATCCTGAACTTACGCTTCAAGTCATGCAGCACTCACATGTGAAAGTGGAAATAACCATCGTGCTGTTTTAACCATGGCTAAACTCTAATAAATTGGAGAGGTCACTGTGTTGATCTACTCTCATCTGTCATTCAGTATGTAACATCAGTCTCAGCCACTGTGAGATAAGCAGCCTCTAGCCGTGAACACAAATGTGCCTTGGTAGGCTTTAACTAGCAAGTAAGAGCAATATATGTAAGTCGTTTCTAAAGTGCCAAGAAAAAGATTAAATTTGACTTCATAATATGTGCAAAGAATGTCCTGTTTGCTGCCAACAACTCAGGTGCTTGACTAAAACAGCTCACAGAATTGAACCTGTAAGTAGAGCCCTATATTACATTGTAAAGATACTTACTGGTTTAGGTTTTCTGGTTGGGGTGGAGGGCTTCAACCCTGTCCTGGCATCGTCCCAGGGGGCTCGGTTGCTGCTGCCATTTTTGGTCATGTCCTGTCCACTGACAGTCAGAGTTTGACCATTGTTTAGACTCATTTTACCTTTTCTGCTCTCTCAGGAACACAATGAGTCCCCGTATGTCCCCTCACAGCTTTCTTTTCTTGTTTCTCTCTCTTTAGCAGAGTTCCAAATAAGTCCTTAGTCACTCTTGCAGATTCACAGTTTGAATTCGGTATTGGTGCGCTCAGGAGCTGCAGCTGCAGAGGCACTTAACTAAATGCTCTA